GTGGTGGTTGGCGACGGCGGTTGTGGTGGGAGAGTGGTGGAGGCGGGGCTCGTGGACTACACTCGCACACGACTCACACTGCACTGCCGACGCTAGCCCCAGTGTGGGCCGGCCGCCGCGCGCTCCGCTGGTCTGGCCCGGCCCCCGTGCTGCACCTGGGCCACCGTTCCTACACATGATATCCTCCAGCCACTCATCCTCACTGCTAAGCCATAACGGCATGAGAGGCTCTAGACAGAGGCACTAACTCAGGGAGCAGGCAGTCCTGCCCGGTGTTGGAAGCCTCCAGAACAACTGCTGGAACATGGAATCTTACAGCAGGCCGGCGCAGGCGAGCTGTGGTCGGCGCGCACGGCCACCATCCCTCTCCCCCTCGTGAATTTTGCATAATGAAGGTTCTCTCGTCCATGATGAGCGCCAGGGCATGGCCTCGCTGCAAATAGCCCCTCAGCAGGAAAACTCACCCCTCATCACTGACCATCAACCAACAACACACGGAAATATCCATCACCTTAACTCCATTTTTCCGCCGGTTCTTAAACATTGATGCCAGTAACCGATAAAAATAAAATTGAGGCCACTATATCCGGATTTTTAACCTTATAATAACTATACAGGTAAAGTTTCACAGTAAAATAAATAAAAGTTTCAACAGCTACCCGCCGACGGCGCCACCTGTAAGTAAAAAAAATAAAATGCTGGTGGAAACACAAGGCGGGGCTGGTGGCAACGCCTCCCTCACCTGACACCTGTCGCTCCCGGCCTCAGGTGGAGGAACAGGTAGAGGGGAAGTGGCGGTGCTGGTGCAGGGACAGAAAGAGGGGAAGTGGTGATGGTAGAAGAGAGGAAGTGGAGGTGTCCGAGGTGGTGGAGTAAAAGTGGTCGTGATGGTGTCAATGGTAGTCGTGGTAGTGTTAGTGGTTGTGGTGGCAGTGTTAGTGGTAGTGGTGGCCGTTTTAGTGTTAGTAGTGGTGTTTCCTGAACTTTGTGGTGGTGATGTTGTCGGTTAGAGGTGTTCGTGGTGGTGGTGGGTCTTCAAGGAGGCAGATGTGGGTAGTCTACCACATAAGGTTAGCAAAGAGGCAATACTGACCTGAAGACCTTGAGATGTAACCCATGGCCGTACACATGAATGAATGTATAGTTATTATTCTTATTAAACACATTACCGGCACCACTATTTTTCAAAGGCTAACGGATAGATTAACTCCAATGAAAATTTTGCCCTCGGCTAAGTGAAGAGTCTGAGGGAAAGGAATTAAATCTTGATTGGTGATCCCCGGTCAAGGCTACGGGGTAAATTCAATATGGCTTTTTATAACGTGAGGTCTCCATCGCCCCAGTGTGAGGGGTTGCCAATTGTGCGTCACTGAAAGGTACACCAGAGTTACTGCCCTGACGTGTCGCTCGTCTTAACTGCTGACGTATACTGTATATTCACAAGGATAAAAACACAAACACAAATTCCTGTTAAATACACAAATAAGTATAACGAAAAGACGAGGAGATAATGTACAATAAATCACCACTAAACTCAACAATAAATCACTTATCTTAACAGGAATCAACAACTACGTGGAATTTTTTGACATCTAACTCAACCTAACTTAAATCGAACGAATATTAAACCTCGAATCACTCACTATATAAATTACATCATTACAACACAGTATTATCAAAGTTTTAATAAGTTGCATAGCCTTTAATACCCCGCTATCTGGCTCCAACTTCCTACACATTACATTATCTCAGTGGCGGCGCATGATATCACTGTGACTGCCACGGCGACTCAGTGTACCGCGTGAGGAGGGAAAAAACTTATGTCCCGTAAGTTCAAATCCTAAAGATTAATTTATATGCGCAGGATGTGGTGAAGGGTGTGTGAGGTCAGACTGCACTTCCAGCCAGCCACACATGTAACGTCTGATACCCTCCCTGGATTAACATGTTTAGCGTAAGGTTAAGTTAGGTTAGGTCAGGTAGCTCTCATTACGGTATATACTGGATTAGATCTAAATTAAAAAAAATAATAATAATTGTAATTAGATGCAAATGAGTGTGAACAATAATTATTGTTCCTTTGGCTAATTAAAGCTAAGTTTATCTAAATAATTTGTTGATACTCATTTTGGAGAAGTCTATACTGTTTTCACATTAAGGAATTCAATAAAACTTATAATATGAGGATAATGAAAACCCCGAGGTGACACAGTTGCCACAAGTGAGAAAAAGTAAAGCGACAGATGGTTGAAGCATTTAAAATAAATTGACTTCTTTACAACAAACTAATTCAACGGGTTAAGAAAATTAAAGTCGATTCCCATGACAATATTCTTTTTCTTTTTCTTTTTAGTTTTACGAAGTGTTAAACAAATGCCTGGCCACTGTAATAATTCCGGAAACTAAGCCTGACTCATCACAAACGCTGGAGGGGCAAGAACCTGATTTGAATTTCCCCGTCCGTCGCCTGTAATACGAATCAAAGCTTCGAAACAGTAAACTAATGATTTGAAAAGCTTTGTTATTTCTGTATAAAACAAATCAAAATATCAAACCCTAACAACACACGAAATTAAGTTATATTAAAGTAAAACAGAACGTAACTACATATAAGTCTTGAATCGTCAATCTCTGAACCCAAGTTAAAGAGAATGACAAAACCTCAACACAAGTAATATGATCATAACCATCCACCATCTGTTTCCTCAACCATGTTCATACGTGAGATATAAGAGAAGCCAATAATGATGTTTTTATATTACTAACCATTGAGTAGTGTAGTATAGAAGTGATCCATCATCCTCGCACAGTCTTAGAAGTAATGTAATAAATGATATATTCAACCACAAATCTTCACGTTTATTTTTGTTGATATATTGGAACTGATCAGCCCCACAGTCTAAGTAAAGAACCCTAACGGAAATAAGCATGTGTTGGCTATAGCCTTGGTCGACTCGGCTTACTGTTTACCATTGTGTAAACAGTATCTGCACTGTCTAGGTAAACTGCTTGTCGACCTTTACTGTCTTTCCACTGATATTGCTTACGTAACATCCTTTTAAATATACTTGAAGAAACAATTGAGAACATCTTATATTACCACGTTTTAACAGAGGGAAAGAGGAATAATTTGACATTCAGGGAAGGTTTGGTTGGTTAGGTTTGGTTACGCGAGGCTAAGAATAGGAAATACTGTAATAACAGGTTAGGTTAGGTTAGGTTAGATTTGAAAGAATGCAAAAGACTAGATTACGGTAGAAAAATTATATTCTTTATTCTAAAAAAAAGTCAGGCGCACTTGAAAGCATTTCCCCAAGGTTACAGCAGAACCTAAATTATTTTAAATATAAATTATCTAATGCAGTACTAAATCACACCAACCTTTATTGTTGAGAGGACTCCTTCCAGCATTGTGTATTTCAGCATCATAAATCCTTGCGTCGCTGGTAACTGGCAGATTTATATCATGTATGGTATAGCGTTTCAGATCCCGGTAATTTTTGGCAGGATTACGAGCCAATAAATAATTCACATTTTAGATTTCGAAATTTCAGTTCACCACTAAAACGTGGTTCACATCTCACTGCATTCTTCACATTAATTAAGTCTGCTTTAAGGCAACATTGTACCCATATATCCTTATATTTTTTCTGCTTTGGAAAAGTATTAATTTTGAATAGCGTCTCCCCCTGCAGTACAGCCAAACACCGCACACTCTCGCCCGCCCCATCAGTAACTTTGATAGTTAATAAGTCAATATTTTGGTGTTCTTAGTGCATTTCTAAATTTTACTTTCACTTACACTCACTTGATTATAATATTATATTGATTCGCACTAAAATACACTCATGTCCACTGCTTTACACCTGAATATTTATGCACTAGTAGGTAGTAGGTAGTAGGCAGCTACCAAACAGGGAGGTACTACCGCCTGGGAAGATATTGAAGTATAATGTGTTGTCTATGGTAAACCCTGCTGCTATATGGCATCACGAAAATTGTGACCAAGTCCCAGGTTGCTGATCTGACTTTCCGCTTCATTTACACGCAATTGCAGGGTCTCAATTGTTTCTCTTACCATTGACAACACAACAAGTAATGAGCGTGACGTCATGTTCCAATACACTGCTGCGCGTCATTGGTACGGGCGTCGTTGTAGAACAATCACAAACATGTCCTACTTCTTAATAGTTCTACGATTGAATATTATAGTTGTGATGGACAACCGTGAAACAACAACACAGCTGTTTTTGTATGTGCATATGGAGACTTTCCTTTACAAACATCCGGATGCATCAGAAAAACGTTCTTGAATGTCATCACAGGAAAAAAATTGGTGTCATTAGTAATTAACGGATACGTCACCATGATTAAACAAGACATATTTTCCAATTGTCGGCAACTGACTGTACTGTATAGTTTTCGGTGTCGGCAAGTAACAATAAAAAGCTTTTCGTTTAAACAAGAAACACGTGTCATTATAACAACAACTTTCATATAGTTTATATTAAAGATTAAAGTTAATACAAGAATTAAACTAAAATTATACAAAATAAGATCGTCTACAGTACAGATTAATAACATAAATAGACAACTACATTACTTAAATTTACCCAATAAAAAAAAGTTAGTAATATTAAAAGCTTAAAGGGTAATTTGAAAAGCGAGAGAGCAACACAGAGCACAGAGCAACAAGTGACTTTTCTTTTGTTTCTGTTGTACGAAATAAAAACAGAATAACCACACAAAAAACATCGCCTTTCTTGCAATTAATGTCAAATATTTCCCTGAACTTAATGTAACAGGGAAAATTAAACCTTACCAGGTGCTATGAGGTTAAATTAAAACAACATACACCCATAATACCCTAAAAACACTATAGGATGTCCGTAGTCTTGTAGTCTTGGTTGGCTCTTATAACGTGCTGACTGACTGTACAATAAAACCTCGACTGATGCACAATAATCGGGATAATATCTTGTGTTAGTAGGACCACATACCTTACTTCTGGGAGTCCGTCTTCTAGCCGTACCGTCTGTTGATACCGCCAAGACAGATGTGATAGGATACAGCAGAAACTCCCTCCCTCGTGGGCATTCAGAACCTCCTCCTCCCCCTCCTCCTCCGTCATCCTGCAGTGTGACTCTCTACCATCATCCTCTGACTCATCCTCATGTGTTCTCTCTACTTCGTAACTCATGCCTCCTCCTCCTCCTCCCCCCCCATTCACTCCTTCCTCTCCCTCCCTAACCCCCTCTCCCTACCTCCTCCCTTAGTGTGACTTCCCTCACCCTCTGACTCACCCTCACGTGTTTTCTTCAACGTAACTCCTCCCTCCCTCCCTCCGTCACAGGTCCTCCCCACACGGTGATGACTCCTGTGGGAGACTCGGCCTCATGTGCTGCACCAAGACACACCAGTTCTCCTTCACCAACACCATTAAGCTCGTGTACGTGAGCGGGACCCACCAAAGGCACCAACACGCCGTCATTAGACTCAGATCCGTGACTCGGTACAAGGATGATGAGGAGCGGGAGGAATGAGAGGGGAAGGAGGAAGAGGATGGGGCGTGACCACTCATACTTACATGACACACTTCCAGGATGAGTAATTCATATCCCTGTAGCCGAGGTCCTCATGGGTAAACCATCTAACCTGAAAGTACAAATAATAATAATAACGTTATCCCAACTTACACTACACTGAGCTACGTTGATTTTGAATATTATCCACTAAAACGATCCCACACCTGAACCTCTTTTAAGAAACAGACAACTTAATGTGTTCCCAAAACTCACCTAAACGGGGGAAAATTATGATAAACGACACAGTCCGTCTATAAGCTGATAGGCTTCAGTGTCCATATGAACTGAGTGATGTGCATAGATCTGTACACCTATAACTTCTGAAAATATAGATAAAAAAATGTCTTCAAGTATGACATTTAATTTTGTTATTATGGAAGCTAATGAGGAGTCTAGCTTGACACTCAGAGCCTCCTGCGAGTGTGTGTGTGGGGGGGGAGGGGGGTAAGATAAACATACAGTAGCCATCACCTTACCCGCTCCTGACGTGTTCTGCCCTCAACCACATGCTTGCCCTGTGGTTCAACCTGCACACGCACGGAAGGCCGAGACTTGGCATAATCCAGGCCACACGTAAACAAGCTTACAATTTTGCTGACTGGTTCTTATCCACCAAAGCGTCGTTTGAGATCGTCTGTACAGTACTATCTGCTCCTTCCCATGTCGATATAAACAAACCCCATCTCCAACACCTTGACTACCGGGCCTTGGTAATGAGGGGCAGTAGTGAGGATGACACTTCAGATGGAGTACCAACTGTATTTTTTAGGCGTTATTTTTGTGTATTTTATGTTATATCACTCACTTAGGTACATTCCTATACACAAAGCTAATCACCAGTTCCCGAAGACACGAACCAAGATGTGTTAAATACAGTTTGTGGTAATAGTTCTGTTTTAATTGTCACCTCCCTCAGCACGGTTTATACTCAGCAGCATAGTCCTCAGCATCAGTAATATGTTCAGCAGCATATTGTTGGTAGATAGTGACCGCCGGAACCAGATCATTGGATGTTGTGCGACTGAGATATATTTGTATCTTTGAACATAATGACCGAGCAGTAGTGAGGTTATTGCTGAATCTTTTGTGAAGTGGCGAGACATCAGAGTCTAAAAATGGCATAATATTGGGATTGGGTTAGAGGTCGCAGCTATGCCAGCCCACTGATCAAGGCCAAGAGGTGTGATTATAGTTAACAGGTATGATCATGGCCAACAGGTGTGTGAAGATAGTTTGTTTGCCCATGATGTGTGTGTGTGTGTGTGTGAGTATGTGTGTGAGTGTGTGTGTCAGAGCGAGAGCTGAGGGTCAAACTGGTAGTGTCTAACCTAAACCACACCCAATAAGGTCAACCCCACCTTTCCGCCTCCCTCACACACACACACACTGGCGTCATCAGCACCTCAACATGTTCCAAATTCTCGCGGTCTCTGCAAATTTGCGGTCACCGTTACATAATCCCTGTTTTGTAATTCCCTTACAGAAGTTCGTCTAGTAACTATATTTAGAACAAGTTTGTAATTCCGCAAGTTTGATGTACCATGCAGTGGCGTCATCCAGTTAAGACAGTCCATCCCTACGGTAGTTGTTTGTTACTCTATTATTGTAATTATTAAACTATCAGACAATATTAGTTAAATGTACACAATGCGTAACAATACATCATACTAGACTCAATAAACATACAGCCATGTACTGTATATCACAAACACTCTTACTGTCAACGCTGCTACAGGTATTCCCACAGTTTGTATGTTGCTCTGTAATGATCTCACTCAATAGTGCCTTGGATCTTCGGAAAAAAATATAATCAATTAAAAAATGTAGTAACGTGGGAACTAAAGTGATGGAGGGGTGTGGAACATAAAAGCACTGCAAACATTTTAACCCGGGCATTTCAGCAACAGTAGGCAGGTCACACTACGCCACCTGGGGACGGCGGCACGGGAAACTTTTATAAACAAATTCTGCACAGGGAAAAAGTTGGCTATCACCGTATCAACCAAAAATCAACCCTAACATAAAACTTAGTGATAATAACCCAAGAATATATAGTACCTGAAACAATAAACTTTATCAACATCACCTATCCTGTTGTGTTTTGTTGACAAGAGAGAATTTCTGTTTATTGAGAGAAAAGGTAAGTGGCGTGCTGGGGTAGACGGTCTATGGGGTGAGGCGAATCACATGACGGTCAGACAGCACCTCAACACCGTGACCACCTTCAAGATAACAGTTTTCACCGAACGTAAAATTTAGAGAAAAAAAAATAGCGTTTATCGTTTTTAAATATAATACACACATCCTTCCATGACACATCGAAGATAACATTGTCTCTAATAAAGGAATAGTGTTAATAAAGCATTGTGAAAATATAAATAATGTACATCTGAAGGAAATGATACGAGCGTCCTTTAAAAGAATGTAAACCATGTCTCTAAAAAAATGAAAGTTTTGTCAACCACTAACAAGCGACCTCTAAGTTTACCATCTGTCTCTCACAACAAGAATCAGGTAAAAATAGCTCCCCCACACTGTACACACATCCAAGCAAACAAATAAAATATTTCCAGGTAATTCATCACGTTCTTTGTAAGAGAATATGACGCAATTTACCTTTAGAGAAGAGATGGAATGAGTGTATCAGAGTACAATGTGTGGCAACTTATTATGGCGTGTGAGAGACCAAGGTGGACGGAGTGGCCTTGCCCGCTGTCTGCCGCCGCCGTCCTCCCTCTACCTACCACCACCTCACCTGCTACTGCCTCAGTCTCACTTCAGTGCTCCAAAGTTGTAGGCTGTGTCACCTCCCTCTGGTACCTCTCCAGTTAAGTGCGTATTATACTCTAAAAAATTATTGTAGTGTGTGTGTGTGAATCAGAGTAATTCCTACATCCCCAATGGATTTTATTTTACTTCTATCTAAACGTTTTGTATCTCCTTCCTGTCCCCCCTCCAGTCTCTGCTCTAAGTCAGTTTATGGCAGAACTATTAAACCCAGCGAGGAACACACTGCCAAGCACACTTTTATTGCCTCCGTCTGGTTGTTGTAGACTGTAGGTTATCGAAAAGAAGAAAAATGTCGCTCCTTCTTACAGTGAGGGAGAGATGACGATATTGCGACGGGTCTGAATCAATCACCAGGGAAGTGATCAGAATGAAAACTCTCGTCAGAATCAATGAGTTTGATGTTGACGAGGCACGGCAGAGCCTGGGTTAAGGGGACCTGCATATTACCAATTGTGTACTTTAGTTATTTTAATACAGTATCACCTGACTCATTTCGCGAGTTCCCTCTGTTCCCGCACTGCTATAAGCTTCCTCTGTGACAAGTGAACGAGACGGGATACACAGATCAAACGCCTTCCTTCAGCACAATGGTAAGTAACGCGGTCAAACGGGTAGTGCCATTAAGTAAAGCAGTCAAACGAGTAATGCCATTTCTAAAACGGTCGAAGCAGGTAGAATTGTCAAGTATCGCGGTCAACCAGGTAAGTAACATTAATTAACGCAGTCAAATAGGTAGCGATATTAAAGTAACGCGGTCAAAGAGTAGTACTGCAAGCTGTCTCTCACCAAGTATAACCACTTCTTATGTTTAATTAGGAATCGTTCGAGGAAACTTTATCAGTTCACCTCTAGCAGACTTCCTCTTGAGCTACCAGCAGCGTGTCTTGTAATTACAGGTTAAAAATTAGTCTGTGACCTTAGATGTTAACACGATTTTCTCTTGTTAGGAATCAGGACTGAATAAACTCTTTGCCTGTTTAAATATTGCGAAATTCCTGTGTATCAGAACATAATATCTAAAGAATAAAATCACATAAGTTTGACGGGTAAGTCTGAAGGATCATACTGCGTTGGTGCTAACATCTGTCAAGGCGTAAATTTGTGGTTGACATCTTCCCCGATATTACTTACATGACGATCTAAATACTGTACCTGTCAAGATATTCAAGATAAAAACGGAATCATGTTGACACAGATATCAGCATCACACGATAGCAGCGGATGATAATGAGGAGTGAAAGTCGCACAATGGTCAAGGAGTCATGACGGAAAATACCACTAACAGGTGACCTAAAGGAGAAAAAATACCCTACCTTAACAACTCTACCTATCTCAGAGACGGTAAGTTAACTCGAGGTGGATTTTATGGCTTATCGGCTAAAAAAAAATAGTTTAGCGCTGAGGTTCGTCGTGAAGGCCAGGTGATAGTAGTATAAACAACAGATGACATGAGCTGAATATTGAGTGACGAGGCTATTGGGGAGGCACGGCCGCATCCCACCTTGAGCGAGACAAGGTTAATACGCCATCGACTGCGCCTGGCGACTGGAAGATGTTGTTAAGTATATAATATTAACCAATACTCGTGGTTACTTTTAATAAGCAGTTCCACTTGTGTTTTACCCGGTACTGTGGTTGGCCAATGATAACTCTGAAGTGATAAGTCTGCTGTTTTTCAATGTGTTTTATGCGAATCTGACCTTCATTTTGA